GCAACGTCAGCAGAGCGTGTTTGACATATGAATTTGGCAGTCGCCGGCGGCTCGAAGACCCTCAGTTTATCTTTGACGGAGCGTTTTCGATTACCCTTCTTTAAAGCTCATTTGAGCGGCTTTTAAAACTACTGAACAAAAACGAATTCCTCTCCTTGTTATGGTAAGCGTCGTTATCCAAATCTTAACATTGAATTAGGTGAATGCGCAGAAGTGAGCATATCGCATACATATGTTCAACCCATTTGCATCTTTTCCAAAGTCCTCCCCATTTGATAATACAAAGAAGAACGTGATCAATTTTTGGGGTAAGTTAAACAAATTTTGGCTTATTCCATTTTAAGCTACCTTATTGCCTGAGAAAGCATTTTCTTAGTCGGAGTACGTCAGTTTATTCAAATGTCTAAAGGTGAAAACCGAAATTGGATATGAACACTTGGGTCAAAGTCCCTCATCGACAACGGGAAAACCGCGTAATATTCACAAGGTGCAATCTGGCCACGAGTACTATAAAGCACATAATTACGTAATAATTTCATGTCTGTGACATGCCCGAAGCAAGATGTATGGAAATTTAGAACCACCTTGGACTTTTGGGTATCCCTTCTGGTCTTGGAGGTGAGCGAGCCTGAACGTAGTGCCTTCTCGGATGCACTTTTGGCCAGGTGTTTTGAATTGCTGTTTTTTCCGACGAGGGAGGAACAGGCCAGCATATGCGTGAGTAGTTCTACCTGCGACCGCCAGTAATCACGATCATGTTCGATTCCTGCGATATGCTCATCTAGTTGGCTGATTCGCTTCCCCGCCGTTTTTTGTCCGCGTGTACCAGTTAATCGTTTGAGGCGTTCAATTTCTAACACTAATGCACGTTCTGCGGACGCAAATAGAAAAACCAAATTCCAGAAGTGTATTGTGAAAGAGAAAAAACTGGGAGGTTGTTTCTCGACTGCTAGCAGATCTCAGTCGGCTGCACATAGGATGTGAAATATTAACCTTAGTAAAAGTTATGCAAACTGAGACGCTCTGTAAGTGATTCACGCATACACATTTAGTCGGTCAATATAACTTTGCTCAGTGTTGTACGGAAGTGGTGACCTTCGACCTGGTAGTACCTAAATAGATTAAGGGCGTTCCAAGTTCACTGGCATCGTAGGCTGGAATACCTATAGGTGGCTGTCTAATGAAGGAGTTTAAATAATTGCGAGGTCGATAGCCAGCCACATTCTTACACAATCCATATAGATCTGAGGTTAGAATCCAGTACTGAATTCTGTGCAATATGTCCAGAAATTGAGACCTTGAGGCCCACAATCTTTCGGCAGACATATCAGGATTTCTAGATGGTCATTGAAGGAGTGCTCATAACTATCGGCTAAGTCAAACCCAGTCCGTGTTTTAAACTTTTATGATTATTTAATATTTGAAAATAATATTCAAGTGATGTATGTTTTCCAAAATTAGGTCGCATAAGTGCTACATTTTTAGGGATTATAATAAAACGTTTGCTATTGAACTAAACGACTGGAAGTCAGTCCATAGACATTCTGTCCAATAAGGTGTCTTCTTTTCGGTACCTCCGTGTTAATTTGGCATCTAACCTCTCATTTCATCTTCATAATGAAGTCCTCGAAATAAGGTAAACGAAATTCACACAATTTGCAAGTTTGTAGACTTTACGGTAAGATAAGGAAATAGGAATTTCCCCAAAAAATGCAAGAATGGTAAATATTATTGAATCACAATCTGAACCCTAATCCAAATCTAAATCAAACCTCAAATTTTAAGCTAACCACAAAGTATGCCTTAACATTTATCCTAGTCGCGATGGAAATGAGTGCAAGGCCCAAGGAATAAGGTGGTTCTTATACCGTGTCATGCGAAATATACTTAGGAGTTCTATTTGTGCAAATGAACCAGTATCCAATAATCGCGTTGTCGGTGTTAAAGAAATTTCTTTGACATCGGAATGTTTCATCTACTAGTTGACATGTTTGCTTTCTAAAATCCGCACTTAGCCATCCAGTTGGTACATATTAGGGTATAAAAATACGTACGGTTTTGAAAAGATGTGTATAGCACACATTAGGCGGGAAAATTGGTTGACAAGAATTTGTTATTTCTGACAAGAGGTTCTGCACATCCACAGTTAACAGTCATGCTGTTTAAGAGCATTTTGCTAGTCAGAAACACATTGCGCGAAATTTTATTCCTATATTAACGAACTAAACAATTTTCCGTCATACATCTAAATTTCCAATGCTATGTTTGTAATAGGGTTCAGAATTTCAAGGGATAGTTGTAACATACCAGCCTATGACTTATATTCTGCTGTTTTCGGGCTAAAGGAGGCAGTTTTAAGATGCTCAATTTAAATCTCAATGGCGATTTCTTTCGGATTTTTTTATGTTGAACATATAGGAATGCACGCAGCTCGAATAACCTAAACCTTCCATCGTAGATAAAAACCATTTAAGTAATAAATATAAAGTTTCGTGGAAAATATTGTTTAGCAAACTTTAAAAACAGTTTCTTACAAAAGTGTACCAATAGATCTTTTAAATTAATTGTATGTTACAGTCCTAATAAAATTTTTAAGGCCATGGCAGGCGAGGTTCCACAATGTCCTGTCTTGTTGATAGCGCCAAATCCTAATTGTAGGCACATTCAAATACCGACAGTGAAAGAATACTTGTCACATCAAGCTTTCTTTACAGATAACACAAACCTGAACGGAGACGGCAGAGGCTGAAGAAAGAAGATGGCGTATAATGAAAAAAGACGATTAAGGATTCAAAGATTCCCATCAGAGAATTCAAAATTGAAAATACGATTGGTCAGACGGTTACCATTGGCCGTTAGTTTCTCAATTCTTTGTGTTAGTCGCTTTTTGTCTTCCTCTGCCCTAAGAAGAAAGGTTCTCAGGTCTTGTGCATCCTGCTCCGCGCTTAGTGTCATTCTTCGACAATCTGAAAGGTCTCCATTCACTCGAGCATTTTCCTAGTAAGATTCAAAATCATGTTGTTTTCATCAGTGCAGGAATCAATTTCTAGAGTCAGTGATAAATCTGTTTCAATATTGGGTCTTTTTAGGACAGAAACAGAGTGTATAAAACTTGCTACCAAAAGCATATTTACGACCGTGGCTAAACTCAAATCTTCCTTCGTGACTAATGTCTTGCATTCTGCACGCTAAATATTTGTGGTGGGATATGAAGTTGAGTGACTAATATGCCGCCAGGGGCTCTCCCTGAACAGTCTGGAACGAAAACTGTCGTCCCTAATCGAGATGTTACCCTGCTATCTTCATTTTAGAATTTTGGAGCAAAGGAACCACAGAGAATATAGTCATATATTATCGGAATGTTGAGTAAATTCAGCGAAGGGAGTAAAAACTGCTTTTTTCTATTGGCTATAGCTAAAGGTAGTCATCGAAATTAATTGGAAAGGCAATCTTACATAGTACCGCTTCATGTTGTCCTTTCAGACAAAATGATAAACCGTAAGGTAATGAATGGATTTCTATCAGAAACGAAATCATGAAATCTTAGGGACCGTCTGACTAACCGAACTTGCTAAATTTGGTGTTATCTCATCAAACAAATATGAAACACCCGCCTGGTCCTTTACTTGGCAATTTATTTTGAAGAGGATGGAGAATTGGCTGTAAGTTACCGTTGATGCGCTATCTTATGAGATGGTAACAGAAATTATGAAATGCGTTTTTGCTGGAAAAAGATTACTTAAGTTTGGCTTACTAATAACGATTGTTTTTCATCATAATTCAAGGCTATTTCAATCATGTCAAAATGCCGTCTCTCGAACGAGCTCCCTTCCAGCTGTCAGTCGTCAGGTTACTCAAACCGGTCCTCTGCGCCCAATATAATTTGGCAAAGGCACCACAGTTACCTTGACCGAACTTCGTTAATTCAGTCGCCCGCAGATAATTACCATTCACGGCGTCCAGTATCCCTCTGACGCTGATCAGCCTACTGACAGCAATTTGGTTTCCACCCACCTTGACAACCGCACGATGTTTTCTACTAACCCATATTTAACGATGTAAATGTGAAGGCCTGGCGAAAATTTATCGGAAACAAAAGTACACCCGTCAAATTATCTATTGAAATTTTCAATGGAATTTGCGCAATGAAATACCCATTCATAAATTATCGCATCTGTGCATTCATTCCTGCAAATTATAAAGTAATTAGCATGTTTCACACTTACTATAATACTTAATGAATCCTGCATAACGTCTCTCTAACAGGGTTAAGAAAAAGGTCAGTTCCCTTGCAGGGAATGAGTACGGCCTGCAGTTGGAAAATTCCGAAAACAGAGGTAACGGAAAACCGGGTTAAAAATTATTTGGAAGTTCAAAACGTTTTTAAAACCTTAAGCTACCCTTTGGCCACGTATAAAATTTGAAGACGATTTGATTTGCTATCACGTGAACACCAGAAATAATATTCTTGTATATGTTTTTATATAAATATATTTGAATTTATTAGAACGCCGAACGTAAATGGCAGAAATGCATACTATTTACATAGCCACTTTTACTTTAGCTACTTTTTGAAGCTGACCGAAAAAAAAACTCCTCCAAAAGCTGACATCCTTACGTGACTGAAATATGTTGGGATAATCTTTACAAAATAACCTTTTCTCGTGCATTTTCGAGTCCAGCACTCAATTTCATCCTTAGGTTATACTGTACGATGAGTAATATCACAGCTCAAGCTATGTATAATTTTCCATTCAAAAAATATATTTTAGAAGTTAGATTAACATTCAAGGAGCTGAAACATCTAGTTTATGTGTTTATGCACATCGAGATGGACAGAGTTTTGGGGTAGACAGGTATGGACCTGTTTGGGGCATATTTGCCTTTGGAACCTGTAACACAAACATACGGGCTCGCGTATGTATAGCGCAGATGGTTCAGCACAGGGGTCTACCAGATGGGTACATCATCGACCCGAAGTTCATCAGTGCTTCACTGCTTGCCATATTTTGTCATCGCAGATCGAATTTTTTTCTTAGGAACGGGCGCACTCCTATAGAAATGCTTCTCGAAGCAAACAAAATGAAACAATCTACCACCATTCACTGCTGTCGCCCTCTGCTATTATAGGTTGGCGCACTTAGGCCCGACAGACAATTGCATATTCGTGACGTCTGACACCTATACGGAGCTTATTTGCTAATATCAGCTTATGAATTGGTGTGCACCCACCCATGAGTGAAGATATAGATGCAGCTAAGGGAGTACGAAATAGACAAGGGAGGTTGGGATGACCACTTATTATTTAAGACTCTTCAACCAGCCATCTTGAATACCGGGTTTTGGAGGTTTGCGTGTTGAAGGCATAAAGAGCACTGTGGTTACTCGGTCGCTGTCGGATAAATACATTAGGGTCAATAACTGCATCTGGCCAAGTACCTGGAACTACAATGAGGACTACGGCACTGGTTCAGAGACAGTGCGGCTCAAGTTGATAGAAGATTTGACGGATGGATTCAAGGACAATGAAGGATTTAATTAAATCTCCACACAGAACTCCATGTTCCAAACGAAATACTGACAGAACGGAACATCTTGCTTTTGGTGGTACTCCATAATTCTGCAAAAGTAACATGCTGGCAATTATGTTCATCATTACAGGCAAATCAGTCATGGGGATATGAGAGGGGGTAGGGTTGATAGTACTTGGTTGGTTGCGAGTTGCTAAGGCCTTTTGAGTCCGGACAGGGCAGGGGGGCTGTTGAACCTCCCCATGACTGATTTGCCTGTAATTCTGCAAAAATTTGTGTGGTGTGGGTAAATGTTTGCTCTGAAAGTGAGGTCATAAAAACTTTTCAAAAACATTACTTTCGGGACTTTCTCGAGGCCTGTGTCGTTCATTTCTTCTTTTTGCATTCGGATGTCCTAGGCGTTTTTGATGCTTCTCCTTCATGGTTTATTCGTTAATCGTATCACAGGTAATGTTTGGCTCTTCCAATAGGACAATTTATCTGCTGATGTCACATCTTCTTTCGGAATTTTGGATGCGTGTGAGCATTTGGTGTGAGGGGACCAAAAGACCGCGACTACTATTCACTTTTGCTAATCAGTCCACGACTAATTTTCGAGAGGCGTCAAGACGACTGCTCCGGTCACCTTCAAGCATCCGCTGTTGTGCAGGTAGGCCGGCACCTAAATCTTCAGCTGTCATAAGGCTTTCCTATGAGATGACTAGTCAATGGCCTAATCGGCACCCTTTTGAAATGCTCCCCTATCCTTGTCCGCTGTCAGGAAGGCTACAGACCTAAGCAGACCATTTGACTGGACGCCCCATCAGCTAACTAGCTTAGCTGTCACGATGCAGCTCATTCTCCTCAGTCCTTTCTTCATACATCCGGACTAAGGACAATCTAGAGAACAAGGACATGGACTGATGATTCTCCTACGACCCGGTTTTGTTCTTCGGCATTTAGTCAGAACAAGTAGCTGACCCAAATAACTGGCATCCTATACTGCCAATTTTTATGTACGGTATAGTAGAAAAGTGACTGACAAGGCCTCTGGGACTGAGACAGCAGTTATTTAATACGTATCCAAACACTTTTCGAGCAGTTATCTAAGAGGCCATTACTTTTAACTGTAGAGTAAACTGATTTGCGGAAGCATAGACAGCATCCATATCAGACAGATGTTCTCGGACGGGAGTATCAGTGAGCCTCGAGTTATACCAGGTTCCCCTCTACATCGTCAGCCTCATCTCTGATATTTTATTGGTAGATCGCTTTGTTGTTTGACAGGTGGTTATAGTTCGCAAGCTAAATAGCAGGGCTGTGGCTCATGCTAGCTCTCAAACTTCAATCAAATGTATGTGCATCTGATCCAATTACATATATAAATACGCCAAAGTAATGTGCGGCCCCGTCTTTAATAGTCAAAATTTTACATTTTGTAAGACTTTATACCATTTACTTTCAATGGTCGATCAAAAGCCTGCTTGTCCATCTATTAAAACTGCATGTATAGGCCCAACACAGTTTACATTCGACTCACTGGTGGAATAATAAAACAACAGGTACATTGATGTGCATAGTTCCTACCTAATCGTTTATGACTTGCCGGATGGAGTTTGTTAGTGTTCAGTCAAATGCTTTGATGTAGATATTTAGAGCCCGTTTATAAGGGTTCCCACGTTCCTCCTGCACTGAGGCCTCGTCTTTCGTTAATCTACATTCAATAAGCCAAAAAAGGCATCCTTGTGTGCCATAAATCC